CCGTTTTAGACGTTCTTTAGGGACTGTGTATTCCTCTCTTCTTGTTGCGTAATGCGTTATGAAAAAAAAACTGTTTTCTATAATTGCGATCTTCAAGAATTTAATATTTGTATAAAGTCTGTTACATATACATTTTCTTTGAAACAAGTAAAAATGTAGATTAAGATAATAAGCATCAATACAAATTTAGATTATGAGAGATCATCGTGAAAGCAGGCATTATTATGAGTTGCCTCGAAGAAATTACAGTAAAGGATTTTTACAGAATGCTCCTATTACACAGCATGTAACTAACACTCTTTTTGAGAAATATGATAATTTGAAGCCCAGCATTTGAGACGAAAGGATGTTAATTTCTATTATTTTGTTTTGGATATTTGTTCCGGAAGTGCAAGGGTACAAATTTGTATTTTTTTCTTAGATTTGAGCTGATTGTTTTTAAAAACACTTATTGAAGTTATCAAATCTTTTTGATTTGAAATTTGTTTATTGCATTTAGAGAAAGAAAAATTATTTACTTAAAAAATATATTGGCATAGATGGTCTGTGAAATGATTTGAAGCCCTCGATTTCACATAAACCGACTAGTTATTATAAAGTTCGCATTATTAAACGGGTCATAAATCAAAATATTTTAACCCAACAGGAAAACCCGTTTCATTAAAATATATGAAGTGTTAGATCTAATTCATTTTCCTCATTTTAGGATGTCTTTTTGATTATGTTAAGATAAGAACATCATTTCGGGAATAAAAGAAGACAAAGGAGTTGTAATATTGGCAGGAACTGATGTAGAATCTACAACACAAGGTAAGCCTGCTTAAATAGTCTCTCAAGGGAGGTAACTTAAGTCAAACTTGGATAACAATATTTTTTGTCTGGAGTTCTTTCCTCTTTGACTGCTTAATGTCGTATAGGAGGCAGTACACAGTTTCGGCCGTTTCGTTTTGAATTGGCCAGGGTCAAATTTACAAATAAGAGACAGTTTTGAAATTGAAGTGGATATTTGAGGTTCTAAATGTTTATAGTTACTATATTTCAAGTTTCAATGACTAGTATTGTGTTTCAGTTATTTAGTAAAATTGAATTTAGTGGCGTTGACCCTTGGTTTTTGAGAGAGTACCTGTCGGATGCGAACATGTGGTTTTTGGAGCCAGCCGGTGAATCAGCTCTTCAATTTAAAGGGTATGCAGAAGACTTAGAATAGTGAAAAAAGTAGGTGGATGGCACCCCGTTTGGATGTTATTTTCAGAGTGTGCATTGTTTAAGAAGGCAGAAACACTATAGCTTGTGATTTATTCTTTTGACGTTAATATATTGTTGTATTTTGCGTACAGGGGTAATCCGCTTATTTTGTCGTTGATTTTCGCGACCAAAACAATGAAAAACACAGGGCTATGTGCAAGAAAACTAGAAGGTGGACATGTATTTTTAATTGTTTGCTGTGAGATACATATGTATATGTTAAATATGAAATGCATTTATTTCAGGTGTGTGATTACAGACTTGTGTGTGAGGTTTTGATTGTGTCGCAGTCAGTTGTTTGCCGAGAAGCCTTGAAAACTGTGTATTGCCCCCATAACGGAGAGAGAACTCACAGATGTTTCATACTTTTAATATACAAAAACGCAAGTGTACAAGTCAAGAATCAAATTCGAACTATCTCGACTGGGCGTTGAGACCAGTATTTTATAACGACAGCTTGCAATAATGACAGCTTATAATTATATACATGCACGCGTTTTAGAGTTACATGCAGAACTCTCATTAATCATTTTGACATATTATAAGTATCCAGCCCAGCCTGCATGTATTTTGTAGTATAATATATATAAATCAGTGTCATGTTTTACAGTTCACATTATGAAATAAAAACCTTAATATATGTATATACATGTCGACTTGTAATCTTTAATATGATGTGTAAACAGTATAATACGACAAATTCCTCCCTTTCTCATAAAAAGAAATAAAATAAAAAAGATTATTACATAGACTTATTAAACTTTTTTTCCATTTTCACCATTTTCAACAAAAAAGCTCAAAAGAAAACCTTATGAAATTACTTAACATAGATATATGCTTTTGCCCCCAAGGTAAGGATGTTATATATCAAACTTTTGTTACTTTATTTTAAAAGAAAAACCACCTTAGGTCATATCAAGTCAAAGATGTTATCTAACGACCTTTTGTTACTTTATTTTAAAAGAGAAACGCCTTAGGAAACAATATTCGAAAATATTCGCTCAATAGATTTTTTTGTCATTTTTTAAAAAGTTTTTGGATATGACACATGTACTGCAGTAAGGTAAGAAATAATTTACTTTTGGGATTTATACAATTCAACAATTTTGTAATGTTTTTTTTATAAGTAAAAAAATAATTATTGTTAAATGTTAAGATAATCTTAATGCAAAAAAAGCTTTATATTGAATAAGTAATTATTGTTAAATGTTAAGATAATCCATTCGAGATTTTTTTATCAGTAAATGTAACTGTTATTCTACAAATAATATATTAAAGTAACATAAGTTAAATATGATAGCTTAATAGGTTTTTCAATAAATATTAAATTTCCTTAATGTCATCATAAAAAAAAAAAAAAAAGTTATTTTTTATAGATCTAGTAAACATAAAAACAAACAAATAAGTTAACAATTTTCAAATAACAAATATTTTAAGAATATTAATAAGAAAAACTTTAAGGTATAAAATTTAACAGAATTATATGTATGATAAGTTTAGAAAAAATATTTATAGACGAAAAAGTTTTAAAAAATATTGTTTCGTCGTTTTAAAAGAAATTGTCTCGAATTTAAGAATACGAAGATGTAATGTTAGAAATATAATTCTCCATCTTTGTAGCAAAGTTTTTGAGTAAAAGATAATTAAATTAACGGTCTATTGTTGCACGATTCTCGCAAATGTTCATGTGATATTTTTTTTGGATATCTTTGTCTGGCACAAATATCTGCTATTCATAAGAAGTTGTCATAATATTTCTCTGTTTTTTTTTAAGTTTATATAACACATAGAATAACACATTCTATTGATAAACGAAAGTTTTCGGCTTCTCTGGTTGAAGACGGGAACAAAAGTTTATTTGATTCCACAATTTTGTTGTTGTTGTTGTTGTTGTTGACGGCTGTGACAGCATAGTTATACATTTTAAACATCGTAGACGCCTAATTTACATAATTTTACATCAAAGAAGGTGTGTTTATGGTTATATCTTCATGGTTTTACATCGAAGAAGATGTGTGTTCATGGTTTTATGTACATAGTTTGACATCTTGACATCGTAGACTGAGTGTGCGTTGGCAGTTGAAACATGAATGTATACACATGTTATTGTAATATGAAATAAAGTAAATAATCAATTTGAAACTCATGATTAAGTGCTGTCTTTTACTTTAAAATGCATTTTAATTAACCAATCTATTAATAAACATATAACGAATAACGATCATTTTAAGCAATAAAAAAATCAAAGATATATATTTCTAATAAAAACAACTTGAAAATTAATATAAATGAATACAACCACCAAAATTATAAAGATATATAATTAAATAATGTAATTTTCTGTTTTGTTTTATATTTATTTCATTTAACATAATTATATATTTTGTTCTATAACTATTTACAATGCCTGAGGTCAATTTACCGAAAATTAGTATAGCATATGACACGGAATATAACGTTCTATAACATTCTGGCTAATCTTTGTAAACACATTTTAACATTTGGTTTCAAGCGTTTATTATTACTATGTACCTTTGTGTTTACTTTACCAGATACTTTATATCGCAGTTTTACAATACTTTTCTTTTTAGTAGATATAAAGTTTATAAACATTTCATTATCTGAATCATTATCATCAGCCATTGAATCTGACTGAACAGCATTATATGCTGTTTGTGACTGAGGATTGCTATGTTCTTGCATGGAATTTGAGTTTGATAATTCTGAATCAGTCTGCGATTGCATTTCTTCTGAATTTGCATTACTTTGAGCATTGCCATTATTTAAAATTGGTTGTTGTTGTCGAAGATATTTCTGTAATTCGGCTAATGGAATATCATCTTCACTATCAGAATTTGACCTTTCTTTTCTTAGATTCTTAGAAACTTGGGATAATACTGATTATGGTATTTCTGAAGCATCATCAGTATCGCTATTTTCAGGTGTAACTACAAATGTGGCATTTCATTTTGGTCGGCTAGTATTATCTGCTTTAGGAATTGGCCAGTCATTTTGCAAGCCTAATTTGTTCTGCATATACTTTAACTGTTGAATTGTCAAGCTGATATTTTATAATATAAGTTAATGGTGACTTTTTTCCATAATTCTATAAAATTGCCTCCAGTTCACATCTAGTTTGCTTCACTTACAAAATTTCTTATAGTATACGGGACTGCCTATCCCAAATTTAGCTTTTTAAGGTTCTTATATACAGACAGAAAAGTATTATGTTGTTCCTGTAAAGCAATTTTGTGATATTCGTCGCCATGATAGCGCTGCCTTGGTTGTAGCAACAGGTCTATCGGGAGGTCTGCGTCACGGTTATATAACAAATAAAATGGACTATATTTTGAAGTGCTAGAGACATTGAATTTAAGTGCGGCTAGTGTTATGTTAAGATTAATATCCCATTGTTTGAGATTTCCCTGGATTCTTTTAGATAAGATAGCATGTATGACATGGTGAGAACGTTCATTTTTCGCGTTTCCGGCAGCATGATATGTAGTTGTACGCACGTGATCAATTTTTAACTCTTTTAGTGTTTCTTTGAAAGCATTACTTGTAAATTCTGATCCATTGTCAGTGACAATTTGTAGTGGACATGCATATCTAGGGTAAATTTCTTCTAATAGTAAATGTATAATTGTATCAGTACTTTTGCCAGCAGTAGAAAAACACCAGGAATAACCACTGTAAAGGTCAATACAACATATAATGTAGCGGTTACCACTCTTTTTTTTTTCATAGGGACCTGATACGTCGATACTCATTGTCTGGAAATGTGTTCTTAAAATAGGCGAACACACGCAGTCTTATCAAGCTATGATGGAAAATGCCAATTTGTTGTACTGTATGCCAGTATCTGTCAAATGGTATGAAATGCTCTAAATCTTCAAATAAATTGAGATGATATTAATACTGATATATTTCACATGTATTTTACCATAACAGTAATGAACAGAGGATAAGTGATATATCATACAAGTGAAAAAGTCACCTTTCAAATTAATTTGAGTTTGTGTGGCGTTAAAACTGAACGATGTATACATTTCACCAATCTGTGATATTTCAGCTAAATTAACCATATTTTACATGACAATTTCCTTTAATTTGATTCATTATTGTAAGGTTAATGATACGTTAACTGTGTTCATGGAAAAACATAATTTAACGAATTCTCTCCACATGTTGGTCGATTAACTTTTCAAATTGTCTCTTGACATCCCTGAAATTAATCATAAACCGTTCCAAAAATGGAACCTGGACAAGTCCATTCAAGAAATTTAATAGGTTAAGACTTCAAATTATCCCCTCATATAAAATTGCTTTCTTCTGATAGAATGGACTGGTTCCAATTGTTGAACCGGAAGTTCTTTGTGACGGGGAACATGATTTGTACACGGCACAGAAAGTTACAGAACAGGTGACGTAACAGTTATTAAAAACTCTCATTTTTGTTTGGCATAGTTGCTTCCCGTTTCTGAAAATAGTTATTATTTATTTAACACGAGTTTTGTCTTTCTAATTGTTTTTTTTTCACACTTCAATATGATCTTTTTCTGTCAAAATATTTTGGAATGCTGAAAAGTTACAAAGAAACATACATCAGGATCGAGATGGTATGAAGTTGCTCCACTTACCACATGCATTTCAGTCTGATCAGCTTTTCATACCGAGTCTATGTTATACTCTTTAAATGGCAGCGTGGTCAACACGTCAGACAAATACTTATACATGTAGTAATGCAGGTATTGCTGGCCGCGTGGGTTCGTATCTCGTTCAAGGCAATCTGTTGATTTACACTCGTTGCTAAGTTCTAATTGGTTTCAGGAACAGATGCAAAAATGTGTCTTGAAACTAATAGCTTCCTACGCAATCGTACTAAAATAAACCTTCTAATCTTAACACAAAATTAATAAATCTTTTTCTCTTAATCATTGTAAACAGTAGTTACAACTCAAATTACCGTTTCAGTTTTTGGAAATGGAGATATAAATTTGTTTCTGTTTATAGGTACTTGCCTTCCAATACAAAGCGCTGAGTGACCATCACGTTTTCTTGGAAGGTACTTTACTTAAACCAAACATGGTGACAGCGGGTCAGAGCTGTAGCAAAAAATTACTGCTGAGCAAATTGCAAAGGCTACCGTAGAAGCGTTGAGTAGAGCTGTTCCTCCAGCCATGCCAGGTAGTGTACTTGTTATTTTTTTTAATTGAGTGATAAAATGGATTTTTGAAATGTTCACTCTCTGTAATTCAACTATTCTTCTCTGGACATACTGATGTTATTGAAAGGAAATTGAAGGTTATTTACCTATTTAAAAGGTGCCTGCCACTCAAACCTTGGATTGTGTTTTCAAGCTCTAATTGGAGTTTCATATGACACCTGGCGTCAAGGTTATAAACTTTTTTCCTATGCTTTGTCTCAAATCTCTCAGATTTTCATTGGTCAGTGTTTATTATGTGTCTGTTTCTGACCAATCAAATGCCAGAGATCTGCGTTTGAGATTAGATGAAGTTCCTAATAACCTTTGGGCCAGAACTGATTAACTCCAGGAATCAGACTTGAGAGTTGTTTAAAGAACCTACAAGCTTACTTCACAATCGGGCTGAAAATATGTTTTAATCCACAAATTACTGTAATAATGATTAATTTGCACAGCAAAATCATTGGACTGTTCTTTTTCAAAATTAGGGATTAAATATATATATAACAAAACTAAGCTGCAAATGGGATAGAGCATGCAGGCGAGTCACTTTCTGTTAAAGCGGGTTTATATTTTCTGAAATTATTACATGATATTTCCTGAATAGTAAAATCACAAATAAAGATTACAGATCTTAATAAGCATGCTAACCAGGTACCATATCGATTTTTAGTGAAAATAGTGTTTTTCGAGAAAAACTGTCGTCAAGGCGAGGGTTATATTTTAAATAACCGTTCATATTCGGCCATATAACTGTCAAGAATCTTTATAATGAACCTATTATACTGCAAACTTTACGTATTTGAGGAAAAATGTAATTACTTCACCATTCGACTGTACCCGTGTAAAATGACTTTATAAACGTCATAAGTAAACTAATTAAATACGACGTTCTAAACTTTCAGTGTAATAAAACACATTTTGACTGGTCGGATCAGTTCAGTAAAAAAGAACGACAGGTTTATCATTTACTTGTCATGAGGTAACCTAGATTATCAAAATACTCTCACCCATGATCAAAATTACATTATGAACTAGAACAAATAAAAAAGATTCCAAATTATTTTATACAGGTGTTGTCTTCCTATCCGGTGGTCAGTCAGAAGAAGATGCGACGTTAAATCTAAATGCCATTAATGCCAGCCCTGGACCTAAACCCTGGGCTCTTACCTTCTCATTTTGTAGAGCCTTACAGGCCAGTGTGCTTAAGGCTTGGAAAGGAAACGATGCTAATCGTGCGGAGGCCCAGAAAATGCTTATTACAAGAGCAAAGGTCAGTTGATTTGTATTTTTCTTTATTGATAGTTAAGTATTAGTACATGCATAACAACATTTAAACTTTGCTATCTTTATACTTGTTATTCAGAATAAGCGTATCACAGCTAAGGAGTATGTACAGCCTGGCAGGGACTCGAACCCTGAACCCTCGGGATACCATTTCCTCTTAATAGTGAAAACAGTTCTGAATCCTGACATTTGATAATTTGTTCTATACTTCCCCTAATCGTATGTATTTGTTTGAAGAGTCACAGAGAATACGAATATTTCGTTACATTGTTAATAAGATGTACTTTATAAATGTATTAACATTGACCGGGGTGGTACTTGAACATTTCTTAAATTCCGCCGGTATCAATAGAGTTTACAGATACTTTCATATGTTCTAGGAAATGAAAAATGGATTTCTGTGGATTTCATATCACGATTTTGTTGTGGATTTTCTGTCACGATTTATATTGTTGATTTCCAGTCACGATTTTTGTGCATTTCCTGTCAATTTTCTTGTCACGATTTTTTGTCGCGATTTCTTGTCATGCTTTTCTGTGGCATTTCTGTCACGATTTTTTGTGGCTTTTCTGTCACAATTTGTGTGGCTTTTTCAAGACGATTTTTTGGCTTCTGTGTTCCAAGTTTTTCAAATTTGACAATATTGCTTTTAAATTTTCAAAACATTTCAAATTTTTAGTAGGAAATAACATAATATATGTATGAAATTGTAGATGTAAACAATTCTTTAGGAGGATAACAATACGTTCTTACAATTGTGTATTTCAGGCAAACGGTCTCGCAGCCTTAGGGCAATACAAGGGCGGAATGACTACGGCAGCCGGCGGGGAATCACTTTTTGTTGCCAAGCATCAATATTAGAATACATACTTTTTGTATATATATCTGGGATATATTCATGATAAAAATATATGGGACCAACTGAAATCTACGCAGTAACTATACGTTACAGCGGGACAAAACTTTTTGATGACTTTTGCACATCGTAGTCAATGCTTTGTTCGTCTTTGGTTGTAATCACATGTGCATGCAATCAGTTTTATGGTGCATTTATGTTCAAAACGTTATTAATTTGATAGGCAAAATATGTAACCAAAAAACCTTAATCAGATCCTGGAGAGTTTAACCAATTCTTATAAATACTGGTAGATATTGCACTCTTGTTTCATTTTTTAATGATTCCTTATAAGTTTGTTACCATTAATTGTTAAGATTACTTGTATGCGATCCAATTCTTCAGTGTTTTGTTAACCAGTCACTTTAAAATGTCCGTGCCTTTTTAAGGAGGAGAAAGGAAAACACGTGCCATATAAGTGAATTGCACACAAAAGCAGTAAAAGCCTAGCTTATGAATCAATATTTCTTTCACTTTCAAAAACAGTAATAACATTCGTTTAATATTGAACTGTTTAAACTTTGAATATTTACACTTTCTTCAGACATTTGATATTATTAATCGAACACGTAGCGTAAGAATAGGACGCCTAGTGTTACATTGGAACACCTAGTTTAATGGAACACCTAGTGTAACGATTGGATACAGTGTAACTAATGAAAATGCATTGTAACAACTGAGCATCAATGGTAACAGTTGAATACCCTGTGTAACATTTGAACAGCTAGTATAACAATGGAACAAAAAGTGTAACACCGGAAAATATAGCGTAACAATGTAACATAAAGTAACAATGACCTTGTAAGTGTAACAATGGATAACCTGGTGTAACAGTTTACATTGTATAGCAGTATTTAAATTTAGAAGATCATCTTTAATTCTTTTATAATTCACCATCAAGATTATTTTACTTATTCGGTTATGGTCAAAGTGATCAGAAGAATTTTTGTTATGTAATCTTTTGAAGGCGGGAAAATACATATTTTTTGCATTGAATTCTGTAAAATGACAATGTCTTTCTTTGATACATGATAGATTATTTTATCATTGTCCATGCTTGTTGTGCTTTATGTTATATTTAATCATGGTTACTACGTTTTTATTTGTCGTTTGGTTAAAACAATAAAATTAGATATAGCAATTTATGATAATTATACGGAATGCTTCTTATCATGTCATTTTAAAAATGCGAATAAAGAGATTCCTCTGATACACGAATTTGTGTTAAAAGTCGCCTGCACCCTGACTGAGATATAAAAACCCTTGTGTTAAAAGGTCCCCGCACCCTGATCCGCCCAAACGAACCTTGAGCAGAAAACTCATTGCACCCTGGTTTACAGTAGTTATAATCAAGCGTCAGTTAAAAGCTCCCCGCATCCTGATCATGATTTGCCTGTGTATGATATTAAAATTTCAATTCCCAGGCGTAATATTGCATCCCTTCCAATCCATTGTGCTCCCGTATGATATTTTGTTTGCGTTGGCCGTCCGCCTGTCAACATCCAATGGTTAATGTGCTTTAATTCGTTCATAATATTGTAGCATCTGCGAAAATTTCACTGCAAGCACTAAATGCGATGGGAAATATCGAAAAAGATCAATGAAAACCAATAAACCCCAATTTTGTATACGTCCAGCAAACAAATCAGTATTTGTTTGGTACCGAAAACAATAAAGAACTATAATTTATATAAATTCATGAAGTATTGTTGAGTAATTCTATGGTCTTATTGGGTACAGAAGGAGTGTTATTAACATACAGAGAACGAACGGTAGGTTACATGTATCGAGAGGTTTCCTTATTGTTTCTGTATTTTATCGACGGCAAAAATCATTTTTCACCCTAATTCCCTTGACTTGACAATTATATGAAATGATTTATCTAAAAATAGCTTATCTAATCTTTAGAAAAGCTTAAGTTAACTTTAATAATTTTAATAATGATTTCGAATATACTGTAAGGATCTGACATTCTAACATTATTCTGAAATGTACCTACAACAGAACTTATAATGAAATTGAAGTGACATTGTGAAATCCTATAGCTTCATCTATTGTTGACTTCTAAAAGAACAAGATTCAATTACCTGATTGATCTGAAAACACTGTATTGACACTTATTGACTTTGCAAATTAAGCTGATAGAAATGTCAAACTTACCTTTTATATATAGCAGAAAACTGATTTTCTCTTTACATTTCTGTGTAGTAGACGTCGAATGACAGACATCTTTGAAATCTGTCACTTCATATTTTATATTGAAGATTTCTTATTGTTAATATCAATTTCAGTCAAATTCAATTCAAGAACGTAATTTATGTAAAGTTTACAATTGAATAAGGTCAGAAATCCTTAAGTATTCAATACATGTTTTTGTATATTAATGATTTTCGTATGTAGATTTTATATGAGATTTCAATATGGCCGCCATTGAAATCCAAGATTTTAGATTCAGAAATCCGGCGGTCTGTCCATTGGAGGATTTCCGGATTTCTGGTGTTTCATTTGTGGATTTCAAATATAGAACCTTATAAAAGTCGGAATCCAACCAATGTTGTCACTTCGGTCTTGACCTCCAAGTAATGTAAATAAAGTTTTAAAACCGCCAAAGTTCAAATACAGTAAACATTCTTACAAACGACATTGTTATCCAAACTTGTTAGTTGGTATGTATTTATATCCAGTATTATAAACTCACTAGACACTGTTGTTGCCGAAATACTTGTTATAAACTTAGAAAACTGTATTAGAATTGTATTTTTTTCCCCATCCTGACATACGTTTACAATACACTTTGGTGAAATTTATTACTCATAAATGTAATACCTTTATAATATAAAAACAGAAGTTACTGCTCATTCTACATTCATTAACATTTTTAGAAGCATAATGAAGCCTTTAAAGACCTAGTCTGCTGGGCATAAAACCTAAAAATAATGCACTAAAGGGCATTCGAGGTCTTCCTCTGGAAGGCCGCCATATGACCTATACTGTGTTTGTGCGACGTTAAATCCAATCCCAAAACTGTACGCCGGAAAATACATTCTGTTTATTATGATATAAGCGCATCATTTGTGCATTACTGCAATATTTATTTTCAGTTACGTAATCTTATATCTACAGCAGGCGGCATTCATTAGATTCCACAGTACTATTTACAGCTATAAAATATGCATATTTTAAAAGCCTTAGATTGCACAAAATGTGTAATTTTCATTTTTCCCATTTTATGAGCATTAAAATCATGGAAAGAAGCATTTGTGTTTTGTCTTTCACACAATTAGTTTGGTTTGTTTGAAATGTAGCCTAACCGCGCATTGTAAATTTGTTACTGAATTTATCATGCAAACGAAACTTTATCTGTCACTTTCAGTGTTCATCTAATCTCCTTAACCTCATAAACACGTGTTTTGACGACTTTTCGATCCCCTTTTGTTGAGGCCTCAAACAGTGAAAAAAAGCCATATTTAGGCCCCAAACATTGTTTTCCGTCTGACAAATGTGATAAAAAAGTCACTTTTTCTGCGCCGCGCCCTTTCGAAAAGTACATGAAGGGGTTTCCGAAGGGTGATGTGCCCTTCTCTGTTTCGAGGGTTTGAAGGGGGGCGGTAGTCCCCCTCATTGCCAAGACATTTTTGGACAGGCTAAAATTAGCCTCAGATCGATCGTAAGGTAACGTGTAACCAACACTGAAAAGCCTTTTACTCTATCTCAATCCATTGAGAAGTTGCAGCACTTTGAAAACAGTTTTGATGAGTTGAAAAACAATGCAAAATAGTTATTTTTGGCAATTTTGAGACGTCCCCCGTTCCCATGGTAACAGGAAATTTAAGATTGAGCATGCTTTTACAGAGGTTATGGACCAGTCAACTTTTGTGCCAAGTTTAACCAGTATTGAAGCATTTTTCATAGTTTCATAGCAGTAAAGGGTTACGAAATCTTTTCATTTACAATATTTGTCACATTTACCAAAAAATAAAATATGCATGATAACAGAGCGAAATTTGAAAATTCGAAAATTGAGTATCATTTTGACTCGCCTGTCCTAAATACCGCTAACACCGAAACAAATAACTTAAACCATATTTCTGCCGATGGCCAACAATAAATAAATTCGACTTTATAATGAAATCCACGTTTCGTAATAACTTGAAGAAAAATCAACTGACACCTAATTGTTTTTTTTTAAACTTTGTATGCTTCTTTCTCTTTTTGAAATGTTTTCATTTGCCAATGCATATACATATTTGTATGTGCTGTAAGCATTGTAACATGTTTAATGCAATAAAGTTATTGAATTGAATCGAAAGACCATCGTCCTGAATTAATTAAGGTTTTTATTAGTTTTTGTATAATATTATTATTATAACAAGCTATCAACTCACGCATTATCATGTATCTCAAGCTCAAGTTTTTGTATTTTCTGATCGGAAGTCAGTAAATACAAAGCGGATATTCAATCTCCGACACAGAAGTTTCTCGACAAACCTAACAACAAGTAGTTCTCAAAACAGCTTAAAAGTAGAGATTTAAAAGAAAGAAATATTTTTATTTTGTTACAAGTATCCAACAAATTACAACGCATTCAAAGTTTAAAAGTAGTTCTGGCTTTTAGAATTGTAAATAAATGCACAATCACAAATTACGCGGATGAATATGATTCAATGAAAATGCTATTTTAAGCGATGTTGTTTACCGAATACTGCAAAAATAATTCTGACTGCCGATTAGTGGAATCATCTATGTCTCTGGTGGAATATAGAGATTCTACATGTCGGACTGTTTGGGCGAAAATATTTTCGCTAAATTATTTTCTTCAATTTTAAACAACAGGTTTATCCTGAACAAAATACCTCGAAATTAATAAGGATTACAAACCCGAAATGCAATGGAAATTGTAAATTTAGAATGAGGCATTGTTTATCTAACTTCTCCGTGGTGCAGGGGTAACGCGCTCGTTTCATATGTGTAGAGGTCTGGAGTTCAAATCAAACTCTGGTGCCTTGCAAGATGAATTATAGTACATAAAAATAAACGAATACAGGAAAATACATACATATATTCAATACAATTTAGATTACAAAGATCAGAAATCAGATTTTATATATACACGTATATTTGCTTTAATTACAGAAGAATTGTTTCATGTATCAATAAATGTTCTTATTCGTCCACAAGCAAAACAGATCATAAAGAATTCAGTTCAAAAACAACAGTCGATGTTTCTTTCCAGTGCTGTAGTTCTAGTGTCTACAACCACGTGATATCAGGCGTTTGAAATTGGTCTGGGCCGTGTAAAGTGTCCTATATTTCTCACTATTTTGCCTAAACTGCTGTGGGCTTATGTACTCCATGACTAATGTTTTTCCCATTAATGGATACCGGAACCTGAAATAAAGATTACCGTTTACAACTTTGATTTATACAACTGTTTACAGATCACATGTACGAAAGTGTTGATGATTCTTTAGGTTTCTGCAAATTTCTGTTTCATTTTTATGTATATATTGTAGGTCTGCTTCAGCCAGTGCAAGGGGGGGGGGCGTACACGGTAGCTTGTTTCAATCTCTGTTGTCCGTGCTCAATCAAACAAAATCTGAATGAATATTTTCAATTTTGCCGGGTTTACATGGTTTAAATATTTATTACCTCTGTAAGCATGCTAACTGATATTAATCATTGGTAGATTTACAAGGCAAATTCTGGGTACATGTTTAATAATAATTTATTACAAAATACGTCTAACCAATTAAATGGCGGTTTAATGCCTTATGAAAACGCACATAAATTTATAAAAATAGACTTCATAAAAATATTTTTCAAAAGTTGTGATGTAAATGTACAGGACCCATATAACTCTTTACGTTAGAAATGTCACTGTGAAATATGACTGAATTGTACATTTAAGTCATATTTCTTTTCAATTACTTGATTTAATTATAAATAATTAACTCAATATAATATGTGCATCTTTTTTATAATTTGAAATATAAATCTGCTGCGTGCTTAAAGATCCTGTTCCATAAAGCATTATTTATAAAGATAATACCAAAGTTAACATTTCATGTAAATAAAGGGAGGTAATAAAAAAATATTTTCTATAAAGTCTAAGTCAAATTTTTCAATAAAAATGAATATACATATAATATGTACTAATAATTGCAGTACATTTTTTTCATATTCTTCGATGCTTGAAAATTATTTTATAAGCATAATTATATACATATTATATAACTTCACTTAAGTGTGGTATACTTACTCAATTACGACATACAGGATCTTTAAATCTTAACTGCGAATGCTTAAGGTGTTATAGAAAAATCATTTTTTAATTGTTCATAAAATAGCTCAGATAGTATTAGATTAAAAAAGGATTTTTGGTTTAAGTTTGTTTTTTAGAGTTACCAATCAAGTACATGAGTGCAGATACCACTTAATTAGCTACTTAATATATCTTATATGTTAGATTGTGTATTTAATATAAATCAAATCAGTATTTTATTTGACATTAAACTACATATATCAATAATTGTATAATATAGTTAAAGTGTAAGCCATTTTTACAATAAAGTATTCATAATACAATGCAAAATGTTTTCAGAGAAGTTATGAACAATAGAACTTCATGCAGATTTAGCAATCAACAAATTTTATGAGATTTTCTTTTTACAAATACAATCATTCAATATATATTTAAATTTAATGTTTTGGGTATGTCTTTAAACAGATCTAACAATATACAAGTTTTCCAGAGATCTTACTTTTAGTGAAAAATATAAGTATCTTGACTAATTCCTAAATTATTTTTCATTTTTAATGATATCAAAGTTTCAATGTTCAGAGGTAAACAAAATTTTAGTTGTTTTTAACTAGCCTTGGATTTTCGTAACATAGTAAAAATATGTACATGATTTAGCCATTGATTTATTATTATTCCTTTTTCATACCTATATCCTTTTGAAATTATGATTTCTATAATCTAACTTGAAAATTTTCCATTTCAAAATATTATATGTATTTCAAGCTATTAAATGTAAAGTAAAAAAAAAAACAAAAAAAAACTTTCATGTCTTGAACTATTTTTGAAAAACGTAACATTTTTTACACAGCTTTTTATATAGGATAATTAAATTGAAAATAAATATTTGCTTACCTTTCATTTTCACCATCATAGAATTTGTGACCATCTTTTCCAATAATCATGTAAGCTTTTCCTTCCTCTAAATCTGGGAAATGACAATATGATTTCCAGAAGAATGTCAAAGTGTCTCCTTTTTGTAGATCCTCTATTCCTGTAAGATAACATAACAACACCTGACAAGACCCTGTGCCAAATTTCATGTAAAAGTCTGCATATTATTGGAAAATTAAACGAGACTTACATGTACATGTAAGTTGACGTTCGATTTAAATTCTCCAAGGCACAAGGTCACTTAGACGCCTCATCTGAGAGATGCTTGTAGTATCCAGTAGGTCAAACTTTTACTTGTTCAGTGAACATTCAAAATATTATTACCCCTTACATTAGTATATATACCAGGGTTGGTAAAACTAAGTTACCCCGGTTGGGCACATGAGCCCATTACAGTGACCTTGTGCCTAGGAGAATTGAAATTGAAACTTCAACTTACAGGTAAGTCTCGTTTCATTTCCCAATTCTTCTATCAGCAAAAGGTCACGTGATGTAGCACCTGTGAGAGATTTAAAAGTGTTCAAATGCAAACGAGTAACGATTGTTTATCTTTTACTAAACTACATATACATTTATATATCTATCAATGAATAGTATTTAAATCTAAATCAACGCACTTTGCAAATGCTTTTGGCAAATTCATTACCTGTCTGAACAGATTTCTTAACAAATTTTGCAAAAGTGTTATTTGAAGACCAGCCAGCAGCTGACATTAAGTCTTTTATAGGCCCTCCAGCCCTATCAGATGCACTTACGTCAGCTGCACTAGTGCTATGTCCTTTAAATTTTGCTAATATCTATTCCAGATGTTGCCAAAATAATTTTAATCTATTTAGATTATAGTGGTGACAGACGCTTGTTTGTGCGGATTTTGTATTCTAATGAATAATGCAGTACAGTTTCCTCTCAGTCCTACTGTACTGATACAATACAGAAATTATACACAAATCGTGATCATGAATAAAATTATCACATATCAATGGTTGGACATGAAAAACCAGGTCTGCTCGGCTTTTCACACTATTTTCATGTAAAATGTCACTTTATTAAGTAACAATGTCATATTGATAAACATCTAAGAAATGTAAAGATTGTGCCCGTTGGCCAGACAATAGTGCCATGAGCATAACATTTGTAGGGTTAACCCAATTTAAAAATCCAATCTTTTCCCAAAACACTTGTATTGTTTTTATATATTTAAAACTACCGAAACATCCCTTAACTTGATTTGTACTAGAAGAGCTGGCCCTGTTTAAAACCCCACCTTTTTCTTTTAATCTTTAACAAACCGGAAAAATGTTCCCCTACAAAAAAATCGTTTTTTTTCAACGAAAAAAATCCAAAAAAAAGGGGAAAAAGCACTTCTGGCAGTTTTTAAAACCACTAAAAAGGCTAGAACCTTATAAACTTTTTAATTCACAATTTTTTATTTTACGAGGGGAACTTATTTTTCAAATTCCCCAGTAAGGGAACTTTTTAAAAAATTTTAAAACTTTTAAAAACATTTTCCGCCATTTTAAAATACACATTTTTACTTTTTTGGGGTAGCCCCGCCATAAATTTCATATTAAGGGAAAATTTTGTGATTTTAAAAATTTCCTGATTGTGAATTTTCCCGGGCGGGTTTTAACAATCAATTGCATTTTGGGGATAAAGGGGGTAAATTTGGGCCCTGGGAAATTGGGTTTAATGGTAAAAACATATTTTTCCGAATATCACGTGACACACTTTTTCCCCAGTCAATTGGGTCCCAAAAGGGTTTGATTCGTCCTTTTATGGAAAGGAAAAAAATTTCCCCGGGAAGTTTTGTCTATAAAGGAATTTTTTTGAAAATTTCTGTCATTGGGAAACTAAAAAGGCGGAAAAGCATAAAATCTGCCCCCAGCATAACCCGAAAAAGGGGCCCTTTTACAAAAATTTTAAAAACCGTCCCCGATAAAAAAGGTTCCCCAACGAAATTTAATTATTTTTTAGTTTGCAAATTATTAAAAGTCAAGAGCAAAAACAATTTCTGCCTATAAAGGAAACTTAACTTATTTTTTTCCCCTGAAGATTCCCATTAGTTGTCGCCATTCCCGTATTATATGAAACACCCAACGCGAACTACCTAAAATGCCGCTAATGTGCTTTCTTTAAACCCAGAAAAAGTTGTTTGTCAGCCTACATAATTTACTTATTTTTAACTGAGCAAAACCCTGCCAAATTTCCCTAGCTATCCAAAAGTTAAACCACTGATAATCAGCGCAATCAACCCCGTGCCCCCATATTATTATATCGGCACCGTAGGACTGTTGTTCTGACCGAATCATTAACATGTTTATATTTTAAAAAAAGTTCAAGCAAAAGGTCAATTCATTCCCAGACAGAACCGCCTTGAGTTAAAGATAATTTTAATTATAACCAGATAGTTTCTATGCACTCCACCTGACCCCCTGTGCTAACCATTATTATAAACAGCTCCCCAGCCAATTAATTAAGAGTATGTTGTCAGAGTTTTTAGGGGGAGGCCTATAAATAGGTGATCCGTTATTTTATTTCAGAAGAGTTTAACCACCAATGTGAATCTTCAATCAAAATGTAGGTGTTAAGCACATTTTCTGATCTAAATTGCTGTTTGTACCTTTTAAAGCAGCTGATTATTCTTGTTCTTATAATTTTATATAAACAAATCCAAACTGAATAGTGACACAGCAAAAATACGAGAGTTCCGATAAGTTTCTGCCATTTTCGCCTAATAGTTATACCCATATGTTTGCATAACAAGTGCGTGGGTGCCCCCCCGGTTTTTTAATTTTCAACTTAGTTTGTTTCAATTCAGTCAAATATATACGCATAGTGATAGAGTCAAGTATTTAAACCCTTAGAATTGTTAATTTGCGTTGGTTCGAACACTGATTTAGTTTCATTAATACTAAAATCCTAACTGTGAAATAAGATCCCCTTTGTAAAACTGAACATTGTGTAAACAATCTCGATAACTGTTACCTTGCCCTTAGGGAGTATCAATGTAAATAAATTGCAGTCAACCTTGTGTACGTAGCTGACCAAATATGGGTTTCATTAATTGCCCTAAACAGTCTTGGGAGCACATGCTAACCCATTTGGTTGACATGTATATTTCAAATAATTGGTTTTCAACATAAATCCGTAAAATAGTTTCGAAAATGTTTGTCAACTTTAGCGTAATATAAATAAACGTGTCTTTTTAAGATAATTATAAGTCCATTTTTGTAGCAACCGGGAGTCATCATTCTGGTGGCTGATTGCAAACTTTCCATTTAAAAATGTACATATTTCAAATCAGACTGATTTTAATTGCTTTAAGTTTAAAATACAAAAATTCTATAATAGAATCATCCTCTTTGGGTTCAGAAATACAAGGAGAAATATTTTCCCCCCTTGTTTAGGGCGGTTTTTAAAAATTTCACCCCCAAAGTAAAGAAAAAAATTTTTTGTTTTCAAAGAATTTTTGGTTTTCTGATTCTTTTAAAAAACTTTTAGGCCGAAAAGACCCTTTGGGAAAAGGTCTCTCGAAAAAATTGAAATGTTGAAAACCTTTGTACTCTTTAAAAATTTGAAATTCTTTTTGAAATATTTTTCCAAACTTTTCTAGAAATTTTTTTACCCCGGACCAGCATTAAAAGTGACAAAAATTTCCCAAATTCACCTCACTTCAATTTAATGGCGGTTTTTTGATGAATGGATTTTTGGGCCCCTTTGGGTTGTGTACTTAAATTTTGGGTTTAATTGTGACTTGACTGCCTCCACTTGCTTGAACTTTTGGGAACTCAAGAGGGGGCCTTTGTGTAAAAAAGGGGCCTTCGTCGCTGCACATCAACTGGTTGATATACATGTTTATGACTCGTACTATACCTGTTTTGTTTCATTTTCTTCCCAACTTTGTCTGTTTCTGAAATAGTTTTCAGTTGGTTCTTTCGATTGTTGTGGCCAAACAAATAGTTTAAAAGTGATATGATTATGCTTGAGATTAAAGGATGGCACAATCCCTGATTAAATTATTTTTCGCATTTAATCTCTTCTTCTGCAGTTTATCAAATGTTCAAATAAATGGCTGAAAAGAGGTAAAATGGCCAGATTTCCCTCATAGAAGTTACAACTTCCTCTTATATTCCCCCCCTGCCTCTGCGTTTTTTGTTGGTATTTTAGACAAATAGCCCTTGACACGGGAACAGATTCTCTCAAAAAATTGATTGTATTTTTTTTAGTTTTGTGTTTTTGATCTTGTTTATGTATTTTATTTAGTTTTGTTTTTTTATCTTGTTTCTGCTGATTACACCCTCCATGTTTCATGATTGACCTTGCGGGTGTTAAGAGATTTTGTTATTCTCCGGTAATCTGGTGTTTTCTAAATTAACCGGCTTGTTTGCTCTCGTTTTAGGCTTGTTTGCCATTAGTGTTTGGTCAAGAAGTCGGACAAATTTAAACAGCACACAAATAAACATTTCGTCCCTCTGATTAGTGAAAGCGAGGCTGCACACTGTCCCAAAATGGAAGCACCTCGTTCATGTTTGCATCATCCTTTTGACCTTGACTTCGGGTCACTTTCGTGAGACCGATCACCCAAGAGTAACTTTCTGGGGAAATTCCCCACCATGCTTCTTTTATTTTCCGTCACATTTCCAAGAAATCTGGCAGATTGTTTTCATTGAATTGTGCAAAATTCAGAAACCAAGTTTTTATATTTTCAGCCTATTGCCCTTTGAAAAGTCAGGATTGTTGAAAAAATTCTATGTTTGCAGTGTCAGAATTATTCACTGTACATGCAACAGGGACTTAATGACTCTCTGGTATCATCGCCACTAGCTTTTTGGTAAGTGGACTTGAAATATAAGATTTTATCGCTTCCATCCATAGTTGGGGAGGACTTACTGCTCCCTCCATTTTTTCCAAACAGAGTTTTCAATTTCCCAGACTTAGCAAGGGGATACCCCTTCATCTGCGACATAACTGGTCCACTAATCTCAGTCTTCAATTTTTTAAAAAATTTTCCTTTCACAATTCCATTTTTTATCCCTTTTTTTAATGATTTGCAAGGAATTTTTCACCACACTTGTAGTCTTAAAATCGCTTATTAGAAAC